TCTCCAAATAACAGAAGCTGAATGAATTCATTGCAAAATAAGCGGTTTTGCTTAATATATATGCATGCATTTTTCTAATGCATTTCTATTAAATGCTTGTTTTAAGTTTTTAGATCTTCATATAAATCTCTTGCTGCTATCTAAGGAGCCTTATATCTGAATATTCTGGTGATTTACAGCTTTATTTAATTTTAAACTCTAATTCTGAGCTCTTTGAATCCTTTCTTCCCCCCAGGTATTCTAGAGTGGCCATTTTGGACTAAACTAGTGGTGGTAGCTATCGGTTTCACCGGTGGAATTCTTTTCATGTATGTTCAATGCAAAGTCTACATACAGCTATGGAAAAGACTTAAAGCTTATAACCGTGTGATATATGTACAGAACTGCCCGGAAACAAGCAAAAAGAACAGATTAGAAAAACCAAATACTGAACATTCAAGTATCCTTACAAGCCATCATATGGAGATTATCAGTTCAAATTGCACAGAAACTGAAAATGTGAATGCTAACATTCTTCATATCTGACATAATGTCTTTTCTTGAAGATTTGGATCAGCATTATTTACTATTTTCAGATATTTAAAATCAATTAAGGATAGAATTGTTTTTCTTTACCAGAGCAGCAAATCTGAAGATAAATCGAAGAAAGTACTGCTTGGATGACATATAAATGAAGTTGAACATTATTTTCTATCTGTTTTAAATAATTTCAGTTTTTGAAGTCTTTATTTTTTTCATCAATCATTCTCAAATACGTCTTGGTTATGTTAAGAATTAAAACGTCTGTTTTCACTACTGTATGAAACAACTAAATGAGGCACATTGGAGCAAAAACTAAATGTTTTTATATAAACATTCTATTATACGTACCTCTCTAGCGTACAGGGGCCCCATTACAACATGTTGTAAGTCCTATGTAGTTCTAGTATTGCTGTAAAGAATTTGCCTAAACTGTATCTGTGAACCGTATCTCACTCAGGGTAGGGGGTATCAAAGCATGAAGCACTTTTAATTGTTTTTATATTATAACAAATTGGAAACAATCTCAGTTCAATGTGTTCCTTTGAATTACTGAAACCACATTAATATGTAGGCCTAACCATTTGCCTTAAAACAACAAGGGTTGTACTAAAAAATCACTCAAATGTTCTTAAGTCTAATAATAAATCTTTTCTTGACATTTTGTTTCTTTGCCCTTTTTGAAAATACTGCATATATTGATTATGGAACAGAAAATAATGAAATTATAACTAGATTAAATGTTACCAGTGTTCTCTGTGGTATTAGAATAAGCCAATTGATCTGATTTTAATGAAGAAGAGGAGAATTTCAATGTTTCATTTTTCTACCATTTTGTATGTATATGTACATGCCTTCAAGTCAGTTTTGACTCCTGGTGATTGCCTGGACAAATCCCTGCAGCACAATGTCATGTGTTGGGGTTGCTTAGTGACAGCAGTTCTGGCAATTTCAGTTGCCGTTGTTAAGTAAGGATCATGCAATTTGTTAAGGGAGGACCTCACTTGACCACAACTTCCAACTTTCTGCCGGCTTCCCCGCTGACTTTGGTTGTGGGAAACCGGCAGGGAACGTCAGAAATCGTGACCACGTGACTGTGGCTTGCTGCAACGTAATTGCAAGCCGGGTGCCAAGTGCCCAAATTGCAATCGTGACTGCAGGGACGCTGTGACAGCCAGAACTCTGAGGACCCCTGGTTCAGCACCGTCACAAATTTTAACAGTCACTGAACAAGTGGCCATAACCCGAGGACCACCTGTATGCTGTAAAAATAGAGAAGTCCTCCCTCCCCCCAGGAGGGGGGCTGGAAGTCATGTAAAAACCCCATACACAGGGGCATGACATAATGTAATATCTGTATCTCTGCTGTGAGAGCTTAAGGGAGTATATATACCATTCTGATATCTTCTATAGATCTCTTTCTGTAAACTGCTGAGTGTCAGGCCCTGAATAGCTCCTAAAGTTAATGTACTACATAATATAGTACATTAACTAACATAGTAATCTAAATTGCAAAGGTCTGTGAATTCAATTCCTGGTAGAGGATTTGAATCCCATCGAACAACATCCAGCTACTAACATCTGAGGAGCTGGATGAAACTGCCCCTGGTGGTTGATGTAACCAAGTGCATAATGTCTATGGCATTCCCCTGCTCTAGCTGGTAACTCTATCAAGGGAGTTAAGGCTATTTAGCACAATTTGTGACAAGCCCTTGTTAATTCCTGCAGTATGCTCAATTTTCACGTTTTCCATAATATCATTAGCTTTCTCAAGTTTTATTCAAGTTGTTATTGTTTGCCTCAATCAGAACTGGAAAAAAAATGTAATAAGAAAAAAATACATTTTATACATTTATTTTTATACATTTTATCCAACAGTTTGTAATATCGGTTGCATATTACTTAGTAATTATCAATGCATGATCTATATTTGTAAGCAACTCATTCATAAGTTGCAGGTCAGTTGCAAACTGATTATTTGGGGCCATACAATTATCTTTCCAGTCTTGGACTATCCAACATTGCAATAAGAAGAAGACAGAGTAGTAATAAGAGGGAAACGAGAATTCATTTCCACTAACCATCAGTTTTGATGTAATAATTATAAATGTTCAAAAGAACATGGTTATCCAAGAAATATTAAACTCTGTCTCAAAAGGTATAGTTACTTCTCAGAATGTAACAACTTTTGGACATTGAAAAAAATATTTTAATGAACTTTTATCCTCATTGCATCTACAACAACACAATTATTTACCCTTTTCTTTGCTATATAAACAAAATAGAGTCCAATAAGTCCAAAATATTATTTTAATTGGATAAACTGTAGTCTAAGATCCTTTGAATTTTTTTGATACAGATTTTAAGAGACTTTCCCATCATTCAGACAAAATGGGGGTCTCCAATTCCTTATGTCAGAATCCTCGGAAATCCTGGCAAATTATTAATCACACTGATTGCTAGCTTGCTTTTTCGCTTGCTGCGGTTTTGCCATTAAAAGACATGGGGGGGGGGGACACAAGGTATGGGAAGATGGATGTTAGACCGTTACAGGCGGATGGGCTCTTATCACAAGCCCGGAATGCTCAAGGTCGTACCAACGGGAGAATGTGAGAAGACTAAGGCAGCAGGGGGTGAGGGGAGGAGAAGGAAAGAGGGGAAAAGCAACTTTTGGCGTGCGCAGGCTCAGCCTTAGCAATGCTTTGGATCTGTACACTTATTCCCTTGAATCATGAATGGTTGCAGGGAGAGTTACTGTAATTGAGAGCAGAAGAGAGAAGAAGAATTACACCTTATCCCATTCAGTCTTTCAACTCTCAGTGTCAAATTACTTTTTCAATAACAAGTATTTATAAAAAAAATAATTATGGACTTTTTTTGTCTTCCAGGATTTAGTGATTACTTCTCATTATTTAGGCGTCTGAAGCTGAAAATACCACTGATCCAAGCAGAGATGTTAAAAGATATTGCAGTTGTAAATACTGCTAGTGAGTGGCAATAAAAAATATTTATCCTTTAACACAGAAAATTATAAAAACTCATCTTGCTCCAGTAATTGATCTAAAGAAAAACTCCTAACATTTATCTAAATGTTTCATATAACAGATTTTTAAATCAGTTTTAAAATCTAGATTATCCTATAGCATCATTCTAGCATGAAAAAAAGGACTAACATGGATTTTCCAGAAATATTAAACCACAATTTCAAATCAGTATAATTGTGGTTTCTTTTCAGGTGGGATAAATCTTTTACCTTTTAGCTTTTCTCATATTGTGAAGTCATTCAGACCAGGAGTTTCCCCTCTACGACTTTCTTGGTTATTACTACATCTTCTATGTTTTGCTTTCCTCTGCAACTTATTCTTTGTAATCTTATTTACTTTCTGCATTTCTGCACCCTTTTATGAATTTCCAGTTGTTTCTCTTGGTTTTGCAACTATTTCTTGGCCAGTTCTGGTGAATGCCACTCAGTTTATGTTTCCCACTCTGTTCTGCTTTTTCCCCTTTTTTTTCTGTTTTGTAACTTTTTTCTCTGCATTAACCCCAAGTACTGTAAGTACAATTCCCTAAGGTGGGTGTTTTCTTTCTTTTCTCCTTGGCAGATCTTGAACCAGTGCCCTTGGAGCCAGTATGGAACAACCTGAGTCTTGTGCCTCCTCTGCCACAATGACATCCGTCACCTGTGTGTGGAACACACCCACCTCTGCCTGAGTGATGCAGTGCACAAGCAGCTGGCAATGGGGGCCTGCATCGCCTCACTTTGATCCTATCCCAAGGAGGTAAGCATTGCACAGGCTGCCTCAGCTTGATTTTACATCCATGGTGAAATACAGTCTAGCCTGCATAGTCAGCATGGAAAGAGCGCCTAGAGAAGAAATCTCATAGTTGGGGGCAAGCAACTGGAGGAGGTGCCTGGACCACACTATTCAAACCTTCACCAGGTAATAGTGTGCTTAACTTCTGGTATCTTTGGTCATATGCTTTTTGCTGCTGACTACTTGTCACATAGATGCAAATTGAAATTATCTTACTATCTTAATTACATTATTGAAGATTTTGTATTCTTAAACTTGCATGCTTAATGGCAGCATTTTATCAACACTATTGTAAAAGGGCCACAAGTCAATGGAAAATTGAGATCTTGTTTTTTGCTGTTAAGTTTCTATGTGTCTGTTGTAGAAGCGCATGAGAGAATGAGGCTATCCATGCATCAGAAGGATCAATTTCTACCATTTGTTTCAGATGTGCATTCACTTAAATATGTAAATATATAGGTTCATTACAGATTCTCTCATGGTGCAATTCTATGCTTCTCTGCACAAGTGTCACTGAGTTCAGTGGGTTTTACCTTACATGCATGAGTATAAAATTGAATTGGAAGTAATCCATTATAAAGCCTATTGCTTATTAGATACCATAATATGCATAAAGAGCAAGGAGGGGGTTGTCATTTTGATGTAGGACATTTAAAGTTAGACACAGAAAGTTTACAAACAGGAATGAAGTCTCAATATGCTTTTATTCATAGCCAAAGTGCTGACAATGACCTTTAAAACTTCAACATATTTAAATCTAGGATACCTTACAGATGCCTCTCCCTACTCCCTAAGATCTGATGGAGACATTCCTCTTTATGTCTCAACCATGATGCAGGTGTATTAGTTAGGAGATAATGGCCTTGGCTGCACCTAAGCAATGAGAATTCTTGTTGCAGGAGCTTCCACCAGTGGATCAAGCCCTTTGTTTTTAGGGTGGCATTCATCCCTTATGCGATGTATATTTTAGAAGGCATTATGCTCTGCTTATTACTTTATAATCTTTATTAGACATTTCTGTGACAATTGTAGCTTTGCCTTTTGCTTCTTTTAACTGTTGTAAACTGCCCTGAGTGATACACATGCATCAGAAAGCTGCATCAGAAATGCATAAATAAAAGAATCCCAAGCAATCAGTTTTTTAACACCAACTTTTGACCTGAGGCACCTTAAAAAGAGCACAAGGGCTATGTGAAGCTCAGGAGTCATACTTCTCTTTAACTAAGCCTTTTAAAAGTGCACTTTAAGGCTGAAGCAAGGTGATCCTACAGCCTTGCTTCAGTCTGCTGTGGAGCTCCTCTCAACCCTCCCACACAGAACATGGACTATGGGAAAGGGCTGGGAGGAGGAGCCTCCTCTTGCAATGCTGTTTGAGGGAGCCTCCCAAACTGGGTGGCCTTCTGCATCAGAGTGGCTGCCAGTCCTTGCAGTCATGGCAGTGAACAAAGTCACACAGAGTCAGTGCAATTTTAGGTTCATGATGTATCTCAGTAGCTACTAAATACCAACTTTTAAGCCACAGCAGGGCAAATTGGGAATGAACAGGAGAGAAGAGAAGAAAATACTGTTTTTAATATTTTAAGCCCACCAGTAAAATATAGGGAAGAGAAGAGCAATTCCTCTCTGTCATTTTAGTTGCAAAAAACTTCTCGAAGTGTTGGCAACTATCCTCAGCACATGTAGTTTAAGACTCTAGTTAAAAAGAATTAAGCCCACATTAGATGACTGCAGGAGGAATTAAGGTTGGGAAATCTCTTCCCACTTCAGCTCACTCAAAGGGTACTTCAGGTATCAGGACAATTATGAATGGGGCAAAAAGGGAGAGGGAATACATTTTTCTGTGATTAATATCCTTATAATTTATTTCTTTTAGAATTCAATGGATAATACTCAAACTCAAAACATGGGACTTTAGGAGTTAACAGACAGCAGAAGAAAAACACATTGAAGAGTGTTAACTTTTGGTCCAGGACTCTTCTCATTAAAATCTTTATACCTTCACTGAAGCAAAAATAGAAGCATGTCCAATAAGCTATAGACATCTGCTGTAGTGCATGAAAGTCACAAAATCCTGCCAAATACACAGAATTAATTTCTCAATTGGAACCATATTGCCATGCAATACATAGTATCCCCAAGCAGAAGAACTGACAAAAGATAAATTCTAAAAGAACCCACATGATTGGAGTGCTTTATACATGACTCCTCCACCTCATAGCTAAGTAAAATATCCACTTATCTGATTTCTCCCTTTATCTGAGTTATTGCAATAGAAGGCTGAAAATTTGACCATGTAAGTGAGCTTTTTACTGCAGATTCTGCAGATTTCAAATTAGGTGCTTCAGGAGACTCAAAATAATAAAAATGGTTCAGAATACAATAGTGCTTCCTGTCCTTCCTTGAAGAGTGGCAGCCCTGTGAAGAGTGATGGCCGTTGCAGAATGAGAATTGAAGACAGCCACCTACCAACAAAGCATATTTGTATGAACCTGAAGTTATGCATGTTTATTCCCACAAATAATGGCAGAAGATCAGGTCAAGTGGAAACTCTCACTGCTTTTTGTGCTCAAGCAATTCCATGATCTACCAGTCCTGCTGACATCACTTCATAAAACAGGTAGGAAGAACAGAGTTTTTCTATTGGAACCTATTGCTTCCTTAGAGTATCACCATCCAGAAAATTCACATAGTCTAAATTTATAGGACTCAGGCCTCAAATCTCAACATCACTTTCTTTATCATTATCATGGTCACCATCGTAGAACTCATTGGAAGCTTCTGGCCTGCAAGATATAACAACTTAAGGTTACATAGGGCAAGGAGATAATGTAGTGAAAATCAAGGATAAATATGGAATCTGCTTACTAAAAAGTGCAACAAACACATGCCTCTGAAAAGGAACACTATGGATAGTAAACAGAGATCATACTGGTTGTCCCAATCAACGCATATTGATTCCAGGAGGCAGCTGCTATAGTTCCTCTAGTGCAGGGCTTCCCAAACCTGGGTAAATTACCCAAAATTGGGTAGAAATGGTTTTTTGTCGGGTAATGACACATGAGCTCATTCACAACAGGGACATTTAAACTGACTTAAAGATTGCCACATGTACTAAAATATATTCAAAAATCTCCCAAAGTATTCCTATTAAGATGAAAATCGATGAAATTGTCAATAGTAATTTGTTAAAATGATATAAAGATAATTCAATATGTTGTTTTTATAATATGGTAGTCCTTCAGTTACAACCATTTGTTCAGCAACTGTTTGAAGTTATGACGGTGCTGAAGGAAGGGACTTACAACTGGTCCTCAAAGTCCTGACTGTTGCAGTGCCCCTATGATCATGTGAACAAAATTCAGGCACTTGACAACCAGCTCACACTTACAACTGGTTGCAGCATCCTGCAGTCACATGATCACCATCTGAAACCTTCCCTACTGACTTCCCGCAAGCAAAGTCAATGGGAAAGCCAGCAGGGGAGGTCACAAGTCACTCAGATAAGTCTCCCCTACCCACCCCGGCCTTTCTTTGCTTGCATGCATTGCACCCTCCTTCCCCACTTTGCTCACACACATGCACCCACCAGCACCCTCCTTCCCCCTTGAGTTTTGGGTAATGAAGGAAAAAGTTACACTGCTGCAGTGTAACTGAGGTCAAAATAATAAGTGGTTTTTATTTGAGAGACAAATAAAAAACATGCCTGCTGTAATTATCTTCTGAACCTCTCTCTTCTGGATCAGGCTCATCTGTGCGATCATAGCTCAGAAGATCAGAAGGGACATCATGGATCTGGACACTGGGTGCATGATTCAACATCTTCAAATTCTCAAATATTGTCTGTCGTATTTGATCTAAGTACTTGACAGAAAACAGGAAATGCAACAAAATCCTATCAGGCCAATCAGTTCAGAAAAGGTTATCAAGTTCCTTTCATAATTTTTTCTGCCACCAGTAGTGACGAAATTAATCTACTATTAGGAATGGACAGAAGCACCAATAATGCATCTTACAAAACTGATAATTAAAGGAGACATTATGGGAAAGGGGGCAAGTAAAGGAAAGGGCCAACTGGTCTTCATATGGCTGGAGATACTCACTTGTCTTGAGTTCTGATTTTCAATTCTAGTGCTGACATCAGGGTGGAGAGTAAAGTCTGGAGCAAAGTATTCAAAGTATTCTTTATGGGCGAAAAAAAAAAAAGAAATGCGTATATATATTAAAAAGAAGAAATCCATATAGAGACAGCTATTCTTCTGAGGAATAGTGTATTGTTAACCCTTTCATTCTTTTCACTGAGACGCATAATTTATTGTGTCTCTTTATATCATAAAGTGTAAGCCCACAGACTATCTGCTAAAATTTCCTCATAACTAGTTACTTTACAATTAGAAAGAAAAACCAAAAGAAAATCAGCAAATTTTCCTGCTGCTTTCTATTCTTAGTGTCAGTTGCACATCCCACTTCATCTAGGAAATTAACATGCAGTTTTTTCCAACTGGGTACCCAACAGATGTGTGGAAATACAATCATTGGACAAACTGACAGTAGAGAATGGGATTACCCTTTCCTTTAAAAAAAAATATCAAGAATTGCCTGAGTCTTATGGAGGTTTTTGTTAAACAGAGCTGCAGGATGAAGGTCACTTCACTGAAGGTTATGGGTTGTAAACTACCACGCTGGTCCAGTAGTGGATTAGTAGATAGATGTTTTTGACTTCCCTGTCTAGGGCTGAGAGAGAATGGCCAAGTCACCCAGCTGGCTTCTGTACCAATGGGAGGACTAAAACTCACGGTCTCTCTGTTCCTAGTCCAGCACCTAACCACTATACCATACTGGCTCTCATACATACATACAAACACACACACACGCACAATGTTGACAATGACAAAACAGTGATATATTTGCTCATGCCTATTAAAACAAAATAAAGGAAACATAATCTATTGCATTAAATATGTGGTTGGATATAACCCTCTGATTATACCCTTGCAGCATTTTTGCTCCCAGGCAAAAAGAAAACAGAAGAAATTGGTTCCTAATACATTAACATCAGGTGCAATTATTTTAAAACTGTTTAAGTCTTTTGCGAATTGACTGTTTTAAATTTTATATGTGAATTGCTTTGAGCATTTTCACTCCCATAGACCAATGGATGAAAAATACATCTATTGTATATCACTCCACAACTAGGATTCTCTGGAGAGAGTACATCAGAAAACACAATTAAAAAAACAACAGAAAAACAGTATAGCACAGAAAAAACTAATCAATGCCAAAAATGCCTTAGCAGAGTTTAGCATAGACAATACCAAAATAACAGAATTACAGAAATCCTTAGAAAACTACTAAAAGGCCAGACAATTTTGCAAAAAAGCTTTGCCTTACAAGAAAAAGGCTATTTATTCAATTTCTTTGGGGCCCTCTCCTCTCTTGCCTGGCCACCTGCTGAATCTCATTAGCAAGGATACAAAAACCATGATCTTCAACATTAACAAATCATTGTAGATACATGTGTAAAGAGGCCATTCTTCAGAAAATCTGGCTACAAGCCACTTTAGGATTCTAAAAAGTAAAAGCAGAACTTTGATACAGGCCCAGGAAATTGCTTAGAAACCAACAAAGGGACGGTACATTGATGTTAAAATTATTGTTTTGCTTAAGATTTACTAATGTTCCCAGACTGTCTTTAAAGGCAACTCTGGCTATGCTATTTCATTACAGTATCTAGACATTCTGCTTTTAATGAAAGTATATTTCATAAATATAATAAACCAATATTGTACTTCTGGGAAATTAAATATAATGTGGAGGAGGAAATTTTTGCATTCCTCCTCCATATTATATTTGCATTATGAAATGGTTCACTTCTGAACAGATGTTAAATGAGTCATTATAACTGCATATCACTGCATAAAATATAAACTATTGAACAAATATAGAAACATTACTGTATGGTATATACTAAAACATAGTAAAATTTATAGTATATTATTGTTTATATATCAGCTTAAGAAAAGGCTAAAAAATGATAGCAAAGATTATATTTTAACATGGAAGAACCGGACTTACCACTATATGGGAGCTCTTCGCTAATTGCTTCATCTACAAGCAATGATGTTTCGTAAGTCCTGAAAGGAAAGGCCAATCATTTCCATCAAGGCCATAGGACAGGTATCTATGCCACTGATAGTCATGAAAGATAAAGCCCCAACCTATCTTGGACACTTTGAGAAAACTCACCAGCATCGGGCCACATTGCGAACTGTATAGCCACCGCCTCCTAATACCAGAAGGGGAATGTTGAAACTTTTTACATATTCCACACACTCCCTAGAATCCAAAGTTAGAATGTTTAGAAATGAACTGTTACATTTACATACACTTGGCATACACACATAAATAAAAGTCACACGTGTGTGTGTGTGTGTGTATAAACCTAACAAGTTACTGCAAATGATTGCTGTTAAAATGTTCTGAAAGATGTTTAAATCATTATCAAAATAATTTCACTGAAGCTGGGAAGTTGTTGAGCTATTAGGGGTTGGCCAAAAACAAAAACAAAAAAAGAGCCATTTGAACAAAGACCATGTTAATTCAGGGATACTCCACTGGGGGCTGCGCAGAAGAAAAGGGCAGAGAGCTGAGTATGTGGGTCCAAAGTCAGAAGGTGGTTGGGAGAGCCGTCCTTTTTATTTCTGATGCTTTCTTTCCTGTCTCCAAAGCAGCAGCCTTTGGAGGAAGAGTGACAGCCCTTTCCAGGAGTCTGAACGGACTGATTGCAGAGGTCTTTGAAAGGCGCCACAGTCCCAATTTTAAGTGAAAACAATAAGCAATGAGGAGGTGGCAATAACATTTCTTGACAGCTAATATGAAAACTGAGAGAACAGATGCAGTGCAAGAACTAAATACGACCTCTTCATATTCCCAAAGACTGACATGGATTGGAATTACATGCAATAATGTGTTCTGACTTACACAGTGACTTTTTCCTTTAAAGTAAGCTCAGCACTGAAAATGAATAACAGCTCTTAAGCAATTATAAAGCCAGCAGCATCCTAAGGGATGTGCGTGCGTGCAAAAGAAGGCAAAATGGCAGTCACATACATTTACAAAGAGGCAGGGCTTCAATTGCACTGCCACCACGGTCATCACTGTGGACAGCCCTGGCAGTGTATGGCAATATAGAGACTTGAAAATATCTAAAACTTGTGAGTAAAGGAGTTACCCCTTCTGTTTAATTTGTTAGTGAGGAAAACAACATGCTCAGCTAAAAAGCAAGCAAACTACATTTTGGTTTAGGGTAATGTGTAAACCCAGCCATTGTGTAGCCTAGCCTTAGAAAGGGAATCTGCTAAAAAAGACTGATAATATTTCCCAATATATTTCCCAATATAATATATCCCAAGAGCAAGAAACATTAAAAGCAGCTATTTGACAACTCATTTCCAGATCAACAATTCTGACACTATACCATTGCACAGGTAACAGAAAATGTCTCTTGGTATCAAAAGTGCCACAATTTCAGACTGCAATTATTAAAGGCAAAAAGAAAAAACAAAAAGAGACATGATGTGTCACTGGATCTTCCAAAGTTTTAATTGTCCTCATTGAAGCTGCTTCTGGAGCTTCAAGTTTGATCAGAGAAACAACACTCTTTTCCCAGTATGATTCACACACCATTCACACCTATCTAGCCTGCAACAGAAAAAGAAGTACAGTTACAGGTGTGTGTATTTTTCCATTGAGATGCAAACAGAGCTGCGCAGTGATCTGAAATTGAAGGAGAAAAGACCATGCAGACAGCCCAGGGGTGCTCCACTGTATCTGCTGGCAACTGTCTGAAGAAGCTGCACTTTTTCCAGGGCTCAAAGATGCATATGCTTCAAGGAGATGCCCAAAGAAGATCCAAATCACCTTTTCCCCTTCAAATCCTGATTGCTGCAAGTCAGCTCGCTGGAAGATGTATTTAAATATGACTGAAACAGCAGTTCAAATATATGTCTTTTTTGTGCAGGAAGGTTGGCAGCAGCTTTGGAAAAGCTTTGAATGGAAAAGCGGTATAGGGGAAGATGGGAGGGGCGTTAATTCCTATAAAACCAGAGCTACAACAACTACTTTAAAAGGAGAAAAAAGCAGAGTCATATCCTTATTAACCTATTTTCCCTTTTGATTCTTGTTGGATTATTAGATGGACTTACCCATGTCCTCTTATACTGAGGTTAAAGCAGCCCAGGCGATCACAGCCTAAGGAGTCAGCACCACACTTAAGGGGGGGAAGAGATGAAAAATGAGGGATAAGTGACAAAATTTTCTAGCCAACGTACCCATCATTATTGTAGCCCCTCTTGTAACCCTTGAATCCCTTCACATGACCACAAGAAATGGCCATCAAAAATTCTCACCTGCAACACTATGCAAGTTGGCTGATAGAACTCTACCACTTGATTAATGACTGGCTGGAAGAGGTGCTTATAACCTTCCAAACAAAAAGACAAAGAAACCACTGCTATAATTTCTCTGCTGAAATATGCACTGAAGATGGATAATATAGCAAGGCTCAGTGGAAGGCTTTCACTCACTTTGGTCATCAATGCCATCCCGCAAAGGTACATTGAGACAGTAATAGCGGCCACTCTCAGCTCCAACTTCATACATGTCACCTGCAAGGGGATTGCATGACAGGGCAGAGTTCAAATAGGAATACATATCAGAAAACATAATATCCATCTTCCATCAGTGCTGTGACTCAGAACTTCAAATTCTTCCACATACTTATTAGTTGGCTAACAGTTCTGGTTCTTAAAAGCTAACAAAGAACAATAAAAGATTTTGTACCTGTACCAGGGAAAAAGTAATTCCCGTATTTGTGAAAAGATACTGTCATGACACGGTCTGTCAAGTAAAAAGCTTCCTGAACACCATCTCCATGATGGATGTCTATATCAATGTAAAGCACACGTGGGTGGTACCTGTCAGAGAAAAGAAACCTCTCTGTGGGATAGAACAAAGAGTACCTTCTAACATTGGTAAATCTTAAAGCTACATGGATAGCAGCTTATCCTCAGAGCCGCTGCAATTCTGACAGCTCTGACATAGATTGTTAGCACTTTAAAATCACACTAAAGAAAAGAAAGAAAAAGCTGTCCAGGGTTGCTTTCCCATAAATTGCAGAGCCGAAAGTGGACAAGGGTGCTCATTTTCTATCTCATGATTTTTCTCAATCACACATCAACTTTATTTCCTCTGCTGTTATAATACCTGTCTTTGTCACCTTCCTCTCACAGTTGGTTAAGAACTTACTAAGTCTGCAGTGAATGGTGTACAGAGGACTTCTGAAGTTATGCCCAAAGATAATGCACTCCCTTTGAACTCAGTGAGGAAGCAAAAATACCCCACTCTTTCTGCCAGAAATGCAGCATAGCTCAGAATTTCAACTAATTGCAGCTTATCACAATAAGCTATGACTAGCATATGAACCCCAAACAAAAAGGTCACTTCTCAGATCAAGACAGGTAATCTAGCAGCCCTCCAGATGTTTTGGAAAACAACTCTCACCATCCCTAATCATGTCATGCTCCTTTACATGAGTCACAGCCTAAATAATTTGGGAAATATGAAGTTTATACCTGTTTCAGACAAAAGAATAGAGATTGAAAAAGAGCTGTCCACAACATTCCCAAGAGAGCCAATCTGGTGTAATGGTTAAGGTACCAGGCTAGAAAGCATGAAACTGTGAGTTCTAGTCCCACCTAGGCACAAAGCCAGCTGGGTGACCTTGGGCCAGTCACTTTCTCTCAGCCCTAGGAAGGAGGCAAGGGCAAACCACTTCTGAAAAACATGCCAAGAGGCTTCTGGAGAAAAAAATGGTGGACTGAAGACAGCTCCACGAAAAGCAGAGCTGACCACTATGGTGAAGAACGAAGAGCTGGTGAGTAGACCAGCTCTTTGAACCTCTCTGGACAAAGAAAGGATGGGAGGTTGCCCACATTTGCTCCAGACAATTGCTCCTTATGAGGAGATCGCAAGATATGGTCTCCAGGAGGTTTTGAGCACTGGGAGACAAGAGAATAGCCATCTTGCTGAAACTGCAGTTGGTGCCTTTAAAAGGACACTAAATTTGCATACCTCCTTTTCTAACCACATTTGGAAATTGCTTGTTAATTACTTTTCAGCTATTGGAGATCTTTGGATCAACAAGTCTGAAAACACCAGGTGAATCTATCTTCAATCCTTAACAAAAGAAAATTTTAACTACAAGCTTAAGAATTTTAAAAAATTGAAATAT